ATCTTTAAAAGCTCCCCCTAGCAGCCACAGACTTCTTCGCTACACTCTTCGCTTCTTCAAACTTTCGACAGTTTTCAGCTGGCTTTTCGTCAGGGAACATTTGGTAGCGCCTCTTCTCCCCCTCTAGACTTTTTCTCTCAAACCGTTTCTTTGACACTGTCGGTACATAACCACGGCTGCTTATCTATTCTACGCCTCCCCATCTTTGTAATGCCAACGTAGCGAACGGCCTCATGTGTCTTCGAGAGCATCACTCCAGATCCCGTGCAGTTCGTGACGGTGTGAGGTCGAAAACAGGAGAATCACCGCTCGCTCTCCTTTTCTTCGGTCCGTCACGAAAGGCCTGCATTCGTATGTTCACGATTAGCTTAACTCACAGAGACGAGCGATTCCCATGGCACCACGTGGAGAAGCAGACTTTACCACCGTATGCGATGAATACTGAATATTTGAAAACGGGTAGTGGACTTAGGCGCTCTAAGCATGGCAGAAAGCAGGGTTAGCCCCAGTCGAATGAATATATTTTCGACTCGACTGCCCAGAAACAGAAGTGTAAGTCACTAAGCAGGAATCGGTAACCACCGCTGTTCATGATAAATCCGGAAGATTTTGAAACAGGGAGATAAACACTAGGATATCAAACTGAGCCCCCAAAAGACGTAAGGTGGCAACGAGTGGTGGAACTTTACAATGGGCAAATGAGAAGCTGTGCCACAATGTGTGATAACAGGTGATAAGGGAAACTAGTGAGCGATACCTATCAGCGATTGAGATACTTCTTTTTGTCCCTAGCATTACTCTCGCGCCGTCCGCTAGTCTTGTTAGAAGTCTCCACTTGTTCCGACCAACTGCATTTCCTGCCGTGGCATTCACTTCAGTAAATCCCTTCATCTTTTCGTTGAGGCTCTTCATGGACGCTCTGTTCTTTGAATTCCATCGCCTTCCTTATTGGATGGTCTTCAAGGCTCCGCACAAGGGAAGTATGGTAGGTTGAAGTGGCCATTTGAAATGAAATGTATACCGGACTGAAAGGTCTTCTGGACGGGGATTACGAAACCGTCTTCCATATCTGCTGCGGACCTCCTAATAAAGAGTTACGGAGCTCTTTCGGGGAACATGTTTTCATTTGGTACGAATCAGCGGGCGGCGTAAGGCTTATGTGATGGTAGCAGGGTGGTCAAGTGGTAACGTTGTAGAGCTCACGACTGCTTGGTCGAGGTTTTGGATCCTAAGGGCGCGTTCTCTTCTGCAACTTTTCGAAAGCATTTTTGTGCACACAAAAGTTCCGCATAACTCATAGTTTCGTGACTTGATGCCTCCGATATAATGGAGTCATTGCGAACCATTCCATACAAAACATTTCTTTCTGAACTGATGGGGTTCTCGATAACGTACCCATCGTCAATCCCAGGCAGTTGAAATTAGGCCGTCGTCACCGGGCCGCACGCGCGTGCCAAGGAACTATTATGCTTTTTTCGCAACGGCTAAATTTGATCATTGTTTTCGAACTTTTTCACTGTTTGGCTCACTTTTCCCAGATTAGCAGCTCCTTATCTTCACAAGGTGGAAAAATGACTAAATTAGCCTGGAAAAGCAAATAGTTCCTGGCACGCGCTGCGGCCCGTTGACGACCGCCCTAATCAACTGCCCGGATGACGAGGTTATGCCGAAGACTTCCAGCAGGTGCGAAAGCACCGTTTGGGGATAGAACTTCCTTTGACACTGTGCGAGTGATGAATGAAGGATTTGCCCTTCATGATCTACGGGAGGTTGTCACGTCGAAGCCACGTCGTGAGAAAGCCTTTCCACGTATAATAATCTTCGCGGCACGACTTCGGTGGTTTTTGAGTCGTCACATGTTACGTTAGAAAATATAACCATTTTTCCAAGGTGATCTCTTGGATGTATCTCGAAAATGAGCTCCTTAGAGCAACAAAAGAAGAATTCATTATCCAAAAATGTCCTGCATAGACTCGTCTGTAGTGGACTAGGAGTAGTAGGTATTTATTCAGAAACATTACTTCACAAAGCTTATGAAGCAGCAAGAGTTACTGGGGAAATTCCGATGCGCAAAAAAGAACACACTCAAAGGATATCTCAACACGTACCCGTTAAGTAGGGTGAGCAGCAACCACGCCATTGCAACGTAACCAGTTGACCACGTCAACATCTCTCACTGACGTTGTTGTGAGCTGCCTTTCATGATTCTGAGCTAGTGGTCCAAGCGTTGGAGAAGGCCGTGAGCTCCACTCCTGAAACGATTCGAGCCTTTGGTCCTACGCTTAACCATACAGCTGTTTTCATCGGCTAGCGCAGCGCAGGCGGGAGGCCCAAGCCTTCCGATATTTCGGCCGTGGCGCTGGTCTAGAATGGGCCTATCGGCGCACCTGCTTCAGAATGCATGAATTTCGGTCTTCTCTTACGTACACGGCCGAGCCCAACCTCGCATCAAGCCCACATCGCGCTACGCTGGCAGCTTGTGCTTTTTGGAGATCACACACCCACCCATCCCGCCGCGCATCAGAGGCGATGTGTTTTCGTCAGATAGCGGATAGCTGGAAGAGATGATGAATTTTAAGGAAGACCGGCTCCATGCGTTCACTGCCACAGAGGTAGAAGGGAACGGCACAGGGCTCGATCTTTGTATCTCAATCAATACAGTCGCTATCTCCTTTACGCCAAGCCTTGAGTGTGCGTACGGTTGCCTTAGCCCCATCATAAATGTCCTTCACTGTGGAGCTCAGGTATTCCGGAACATTACGTTTCCTGTGCGCTCCTCAGAGCACCGGCTACGGCAGGGTCCAGTGCCTTCCCCAAGGTTCATGCAATGCTAGGTAGCAAGGTCCGCAGCTTCCCTCGTACCTCATCTCCATCCCTTGTGGCAATGAAGAACGGAATCAGACGCATCAGTGTGGACCTTTCCGGCACAACGCCGACGCTCGTGCGAAGTAGGGATAAGTTGCATTAGCGTTGTGTGAGTTATCTGTTGTGGCAGTAGCTGGAGCGCTCCATTGCATCATTTTTCTGATTGGAGGTGGGGAACGATTAGCTGTTCCTCTTCGCATCCTTCGTTTGGCTGTTACATTGATCAGGAAGTGTGTGAGCCAACTCACCTATGCCATTCGAAGACCATCCATACCTCTATCGGCACCCCGTCTGGACCCGCTGCCTCCCCAACCTTCATCGTTCCTAGCTCGCTGCGGGCTTCATCCTCTGTCCAAAGAGTCCTCTGCCGTTGCCTCTACTTGTGGACTATCCTTGAATTCTTTTTTGAATTTCTCGTTCAGGAGTACCTCGAAGTACCTTCCTACTAATGTCCTCTTACTAGTTCTGGCAAACTCCCTGAGAATGGGACCGTTGCTGCTCTTTACAGTCTTTACTTCTCTGATGTTCTGAGCAGCACGGCCGGGCTTTGTCCTGGTGGAAGATGAACTTCTCCCCTTCTCGGCACTCCAGCTTCTCGCGCAAGACATCTACATCCGTATTCTTGGTTTCGGCGACAACTGCCTTAGCGCGTTGCTTGCAGCTCTTGTAGGTGAGCCTTCTGCGCTCTTCTACCTCTGCCAGTGTTTGTATGCTTCCTAGTTCTGCTCAACGATGCCCTGGACTTCTTCGTTCCAGAACCATGCTGCACTATACCTTCTGATACCATATCGCGTCTCTCCAAGGTTTCGCACATTGTAGACTTTTACATTTCTGCTGCTTTGGTCCAGGTCTTCTAGACTGGTGTCGATGTCTTCCAGAATAGACCTGCGCTGTCCTTCTCCAGGCAGCAACTTAATGTCCCCGACGGTCTTAGGAGACGATCTTCTTACGAGAACACGATATCCGTTTGGCTCCATCCGCTGCGGTAGCTTGACTTCCGAGTCTTACAACGAACTCAGGCCAAGGTTCTGCGCGCCGTTTCCGAGTGGCGTCTAAGCATGAACACTGGTTCTATCGCGACCTGTCATGGTTGGTGTCATCGCTTCTCCATCAGCAGGCCTATCAACCTGGAGCCTGACGCTGGTATCGTCCCCATTTTTGCAATTTTTGCAAGGCAAGGTTCTCTGCCTCGGACAGGGATCGAACTTGTGGCTCAGAGTAGGAACATGAATCTACATTCTCGACCACTCGGCTATCCCTGCCCAGTTCACAGTGACAATAAATTGTAATCTGTCAATTCACTTCATCTAGCAGAAGGCACAAGCGGAACTCCAGAATGACCCTCTCACGCCGAATAATAGCGTCAGGATTTTTTATTGAGGGAGATCGATTGATTCCAGGGGATAGAAATTAGCGATAAAGATACATAACTCGATCATGATTTCTGATCGACAGAACAACCTACTAGGATCACGTGACAGAAAACGTTATACGTGATTAACGCATATGATAGTAGCAAGAGCGTCAGCGGATTAAGCAACAAACACCCAGTAAGTAGTAGTTCAGGGTTTCGCGCCTATGAGTGGCACAGCATTCTAGGTCCGTCTAATGAAGTAAATAGAATCGCAAAGGTATTATGATAATCTTGATGTGGGATTGCAACAGGGAGCGAAATGATGAGTCACGTTTATCAACGTTGTTTGAATATAATAGGAAGAAAAGTCTTCGTTTTTCTTCGAAAATGTATCCAGAAAATATTCCATTTTTCAGAAGGAGTATCTGTTCAGCGCTTATCCAGAGCTGAAACATTATAATCTTAGTCGCCAGGTTGGCTTTGATATCAAGGCAAGAGACGGTTTGAATCCTTCAAGGCAGTACCTACAGTCTTCCACCGGATCGGTGAGCTCTAGAAAATTGTCTCGTTCACGGATGTCACCCGACGTACTCACTCCCAGGACGCTGGCGATAATATAACGACCATTATTCACTTTAAAATTCGCCTTTTTTCAACCACTAATTCGCTTCCCTTTTTCAAAAACCACCAATTTCGTCCCACTTTGTTTTTTTTTTTTATCCCCAAAATTTCAAATGTCGTCCTTTTCTCAAACACAAATTCGTAAACCTTTTTCAAACCAAATTCACCCTCACTCTTCATCAAGAACCACACTTATTAGGGCGGGCAACTCATCAACCAGATCACGCCAGACATCACTGCGAGCCCGCCCCGACGGCCACGCCCACTTGTCAGCGCGGACATAGATTCTCAAATCTTGTTTCATAACTTCTGCTTTTGCTGTTTCCCACAAACCCTTTGACTGGAAACCACCGTGCCGACTCCGCCCATTCTCTAAATGGTTTGGCACTCTAGGCTGACCACGCCCACTGGCTTTTCGCGGAATTTCGATGTTTTTTTCAAAATTTTTGCAATTTAGGGTTGCTGCGTGAAGCCCCGCCTTTGTGAGTGGTGTCACGACATAATATGAATAACCCCGCCGCAACCTTTTTCAAAAATGGTGCAGATCGCAGTATAGAGACTTGGCTTGCATGTTAGGGCCTCGTATGTCACTCGGAACAAGAAAATCGGCAAAGTTTATTCCGAATGATCAGCAATACACTAACATGCAAGCCAAGTCTCTATACTGCCGATCTGCACCATTTTTGAAAAGTGGGCGGGGCTTATTCAAAGTGGGCGGAGCATCTCACAAAGGGCGGGGCTTCACGCAGCAACCCTAAATTGCAAAAATTTTGAAAAAACATCGAAATTCCGCGAAAAGCCAGTGGGCGTGGTCAGCCTAGAGTGCCAAACCCTTTAGAGAATGGGCGGAGTCGGCCATGTGTGAATGCACGGTGGTTTCCAGTCAAAGTGTTTGTGGGAAACAGCAAAAGCAGAAGTTATGAAACAAGATTTGAGAATCTATGTCCGCGCTGACAAGTGGGCGTGGCCGTCGGGGCGGGGCTCGCAGTGATGTCTGGCGTGATCTGGTTGATGAGTTGCCCGCCCTGATAAGTGTGGTTCTTGATGAAGAGTGAGGGTGAATTTGGTTTGAAAAAGGACGAATTTGGTTTGAAAAAGGACGAATTTGGTTTGAAAAAGGGCGAATTTAAAGTGAAAATGGTATATTCCAGGCTGCATTACGAGCTGCGCGAGATGTTTCACCGTCTGATCACGGCTACGCCGACCTTGGGATGCTACCTGTTAATCCTCAGAAGCTTGTCGTCCTTGTTCATGGTGGTCCAAATGCCAGAGATACTTATGAATTCTCGGAAGAGAACGCATTCCTAACGAACAGAGGTTATGCTGTACTCCAGGTAAGATGCAGTTTCATGCTCTATGCAGTTCAGACCATCAACTAGTCGAACTTATTTGGTTGGTTTCAGGTGAACTTCCGTGGAAGCACTGGTTTGGGTAAACGTTTAGTAAGCGCTGGCAATGGGGAAGTGGGCGAGAAAGATGCACCTCGACATATTGGATTCGGTCAAATTTGTTGTGGCAAAAGGGATTGCAAATAAATCTCAGGTTGCTATCATGGGTAAGTATGTGGCAGTTTATTTCGTGCGCTAGATTCCTGAAATGTTTATCAGTATCTCCGACATATGACTTTCTTTCTTCGGAACCTAGCTGACACAAGTGTTAGCCGAGTAGCTATGGGTCTAGGAACATCATCTTAGCACCCTGACTAGTCACGAGTTCGATGCTTGCTGAGACACAATCCATGCTTTGCAACTAGCAATAATGGTTGTGATACCAGCACCAGGCTCAAGTTGACAGGCCGGCTGACGGAGAATTCAGTCGTGTGCCTACGGGAGACGCGCCAGAAAAAAGCCAGGGCTTGCGAAATCGTAGAAATAATCACGCGCGTTTTTTCAGACAGTAGGATAATCTAACATGTACTGTGTCTCCGCAGTCACTCTAGAGTAGGATGAACTCTAATTCACTCCGGATGAGGCCACAAGACCGATCACGGAGGGAGGCTCACCAGCATGGTCGTTACAGAGGGGTAAAAGTGTACGCAAGCCGGGGATTCGGAGCAAAGAACGGTGGGTGGCAATGGAGTATTGGCATGACTACAGTTAACGATCTAGCGATCTGCACCACTTTTTTTGCAGAAGGAATAAAGCCGAGACACAGGGGAAGGTAGCCGCCGACTGCAATGGGCGACTTAAACAAGACCGATTATGTACTTGTGAGAGGCTTTTTTGGGAACTCGATAAAAATAGGTAGTGGCCATGAAATAAATATGCCTCCATAGACAGGGACATACACGGTGGGCGATTGCAGTTGTACCTACACAGCTTGACGAAGACGATAGAATTCACGGTTGGAGTACATCAAGCATCAGCTGAGCTCGTTTCACTGGATGCTATGGCCATTGATAAGATACTGAAAATCTCCCCTGATACTAACGATGTTGCCCTTGTAGCCGATAGAAAAGAAGAACTGCAGGACCAAGCGCAAAAACGGCATGAAGTACTCGCTAACAATGGCCTTCGGGTGAACGTATAGAATACCGAATTCCGAGTTTGGAAAAAAGGAAGAGTCGAGCCCTTGATAGTGTACCGAACTCATCCTAGACCGCCACGGATCGTTTTCAATGCAGGGTTTTTCACTATGGTTGATCGCGGACGCTGCCTTCAAGGCGAAGAGAAGGCGCGGCCGCACGAGTTCTCACTTGTTGATATCAGCTGTTTTCCCTTATCACCTCACTCTCACCATTCGAAGTGGAGAGAGTTAGTAGCGGAACAACCGCACCATCAGGCAACCATTAGAAATGAAGTTGGGCGTGGTGGTCGCGGGGTGGCCTCTCCTTACATTTACACTTTTCATCGCTTCGCAACAATACCATGCACTAAAGGTTTAGGATGTCACGTCACCCTTGTTCGCATGTCATCATGCATCACAGAATAACGCGGCTGGTCGAAAGACAGAACTATATTTTCAGTGAAGATGCTTTAGTACCCTCTTGCTGCATAGAACGCCAGTCAACATATGTTACATTTTACCAGGCTGCAGGCATTCGTCAACTCACTTTCAAATTCAAATAACGAACACATTTTAACTAAGGCTAATCCACAGTACTGAATGTTCACTGATTTTCAGATGTCCAGTCCGAATTAGTTCTTCGCTGAGTGGGTAGAACGAGCCTGCATCTGCTCAAGAAGGTCACGCTATCCTTCATAGTCGAGCATCACATGATTGACGATTAAAAGGCTTTCAAATTATGTTGGGTTATCCTATTCAAACGTGTAGGCATATAGAGGAACGGCAGGAAAGCGAAGGGGCTAAGGCTGTAGGCTTCTACATCGTTGGAAGCTGATACTTTCAGCTACGTGTCGTGAAATTCGGTTAGCCTAGCTGCAGACAAAAAAACTAAGAAATTGAAAAGAAATCCGAGTGGTTGAAACCAGCGACGGATTTTCCGAATCGGTCGTTGTACAAGGAAAGTGACCTGCTCACAGTTGCCCTATGTCGAGTCAGCAGTTACACCTAATAGTGTTCTCGACACGAATGTGGAAGATTTGGCTCAGAAATCCAAGGAAGAATGGACTAAGGACTGTTGTAGTCGAAGGCGCCCCAGAATTTTCACTCTGTACAAGCGAAGCGAGTGAATGGCCATGCGTCGAATGTCTGTTTACAGAAATTTGGACCCTTGTCAAGCTTTCCCGCAAGGTGCAACGTTGCCGAATTATTTTCGAAAAACTGCAAGTGGTCAAGGGGGTGAGTGTTTGGGTACCCCATTTCGTTGTAGAAGCAGGAAGCAGAACTGATTTGATGCTCATAGCAACAGTGTTCCTCAAGTAATATGCTATTCACGAATGTGAAAACTTGCTCCTAGCGAAATATGGGTGGTATTGTACGCGTAGCCAAAACTCACAAACGTCAATTTTGTATGAATGCAGATAACGAGCAGCCCAAGTTCTGTCATCAGGAGTTACGCGATTCACGGATAATCACTAAAGTGATGAGTTCCTGCATTGTCACTTTCAAGCGGCTCTACGCAGAGACCAAAACTGTAGTGAGTCTACGTTGCCTTCTCCTTCAGATCGACAAATAGGTGCTACCACAACTACGAGTGGGCCACCATTGCTCGTCGCAGTGCCAGACCCTCAGTAAATGTATCTTTGGGCAGTGTGCGGACAGACAATACAAGGAGCTGTCTCCAATCGCCTTATTCACCGGTACAGCCGTCCAATCTTGTTCTGATCAGTCGAAGGTGCTGCTTTGAACTGCATCACGGTTCAAATAAGGTTTTGGTGGTTCAAGTGGTAGGTTACATGTTTATTGGTAACACATAGCACATACAGCATGACTACAATCATTAAAACTACAAGCATAAACATACGAGGCTAAACTACTGGCATATTCGTGTCAAATGCGAGTCAAATTGTGTCTTGTGTTCTTCTTCAGGCGATAGCGGGTCCGCAGTGTCTTGTGTCTCGTCTCCTGTGTTGGCACATCGTGTTCGTTCTTGTCCCTATGTGCTCGTGATGTGAAAGCAGTGAAACTGAGAGAAGAAACCGTGAAGAACTGCGAAGAGAATGAGCGAGAGTGCCCGTGGGGCCTCAGCCGCCACCTTTATAGCCCTGATTGTGGGTGGTATAAATACCGGCTCAGGTGGGCGGTACCAAGGCCTCCTATTGGTTGGTTACCGGCGATGAGCGAACTTTCTAGAAAATGTGCGTTTGCGACCCGTGCATCCTAGTCATCATGACCAAGGGTCATGACAGGTGCTGTCGCCAAACGTTTTGTCATTCGCCGAAATGGTATCAACAGCAACTTGTGAAGCTGTTAACAAAACAATGGTGCTAGTCGTCCAAACGCTCACGGAGCTTTGAGGAAGAGGAATCTATCTTACTCGAGCCCGAGTATTTCATTTTCTATCTGCTCTCCTTTTTCTTTCATTTGAACTAAACCTTCCACGATTTCGAATGAGATGACCCAATAAATAAAGGTAAGTACGACGGGTTGAAGATGTCGTAAAATGGCATCCACTACGACAAGAGAATTGGGGATCACTTTTATGTATTCCGACTGGGAACTTTAAAGAAGACGGAGTCCTCCACAGACGAATGGAAACAAGTGAAGAGAGATTACTTCCCACGATGTGGTCTTCAACAGTGGAAACATTATGCGCGTACGCACCTCATCACAAATTACTGTTGCAGTTCACGTGCACTTGAGTTTAGTCTTATTTACTCCATTGTGCTACTGGAGTTGAGTAGACCATCTGTGCTGGTGGATTTGACGAAATGTCGTTGGAATTTCATTTTCGCCCGTAGTCCCTTGATCTGAACACAACCAGCTGAGAACGGATGTGTGTTGATAAATTCAGGACTCAGGGAGCGACGATTCTGTAGAAATTCTGGCCCGATAAAGGATCTGTTTCTTTCATTTGTTTGCTATTTGGTTCACTTAATTGTAGTGTTTAGCTACCACAATGTATACTCCTTCGACTTGTTGACTGATTCGAAAAGACTGGTTATGAAGAACAGCAGATTTTCGGATATTCACGCCGACAACGATCTGAATATACGGCTGGTAACTGAGGAACAAAATGATGGATCGCTGGTGTACCATAGGTCGGTGACTCGATGAACATCAGTCGCTTGAATTAAATCAAAAAATGACTAATTAATTGATTAAAAAATTAGTCAGTCGATTTGGTCAGCTGTTAGTTGAGACAACATAAGAAAACTGAAAAAAAAACGTAAAATCCAGGAGAAATTGATTGCCGCTATGTGGCCTTGTCCCGTTCCTTGAGTACTTTTCCGTTGCTTGAGAACATTTCTGGTGCCTGGACCAGTGGAGGAAGGCTTCCGCATCACGTGCTATTTGCTATTCTGAAGTGAAATACTACTTCGCTGGAACAGTTGCCCGAAATTTCCCCTCATTCTGGATTCTCATCAGCTAAGCGCTATTTTTCGCAGATTGCTTTTGCGTGGTGGTATAAACGCCTACTCATTCAGTATGATGGAGCACGTGTTTCATGTGAAAAAAAAACGTATTGGAGGATTCACCGCGAAACACGCAGAAAGTGTCATTATTCAAAGGTCAGCACACGCGCACAAGGTAGTAGTGCTCTCGAGTATGAGATTGCGACCTGCTTGTGATTCATCAAGGTGCTTGCCGATTGCTTTTGAGGACTACAACTCCACGTGGATGAAGTTGAGCCCTTTGTATCTCGCTGAATAACAGAAGTCCCGCTAAGTAACCTAGGGTAAAACCTACATGAAAAGCTGCCGTAGAACGCATGCGATGAATTATGATAGTTTCACCCATAAATCTTGCAGAATTGCAACTTAAGCGAAGTTTCCAAAAATGCTTCCGACATGTCAATACCAAAGACTAACTTGAAAGCGCAGAATTTTTTTTGAGAAGTGATCAGGTGAGAATGACAGCAGATGGTGGCTGGAAATAGTTCCACTGAAAAATCGATTCATTATATGCATATACCTTATGCGCCGTCAAGCCCTACACATTCTCGATTGGGTTGCTTAAATACACATGGTAT